GGTGATCTGCCTGCCTCAGCCTCCCAAAGTGCTGGGATTACAGGTGTGAGTCACCACATTCAGCCTAAATAAGTACTTTTTAATGGTGACAGAGTGATATCAATATCTAAAGTTCTAGTCTATGTCTCAACATTGAGAAGATGTCCAAAAGTGAGAAACTGTTAAACTATAGCCTAAAGCTGTTTCTTATTGTGTTTAATTTTGGTGAGTAGGTTTTTTTAATATATAGTAAACGGAAACCTAACTGGATATGTAAATAGACTGTAACCCATTTTTGTACCAACTGCTGTGTTATTGTGAATAAGAGGACATCAACTGTTCAAACCATGTTCAAATAAGGCAAATTCCTGGCTGGAATCAATCTTGCTGTTTGTGTACCTCACTTTCATTATCTGAATGTCACTTTGCTTTTTCTGTCCATAAATCCTTTTCCCATCATGTGGCTGTGCTGGAGTCTCATTGAACCTACTGTGGATCCACAGTCTGCCTGATTTGCAAATTATTAATTGCTCAATTAAACTCTGTTAAATTTAATTTTATTTCTCTAAAGTTTTTTTTTCTTTTAAAAGTTTTCAAATTTTTTCTATGATGAAAAATGTATAATGTGTTGTTGGGCCTTTTCTCTTTCTTGAGACGGAGTTTCACTCTTGTTGCCCAAGCTGGAGTGCAATGGTAGGATCTTGGCTCACTGCAACCTCGGCCTCCCGGGTTCAAGTGATTCTCCTGCCTCAGCCTCCAGAGTATCTGGGTTATAGGTACTTGCCACCAAGCTCGGCTGATTTTTTTGTATTTTTAGTAGAAACAGCGTTTCACCATGTTAGCCAGGCTGGTCTCGAACTCCTGACCTCAGGTGATCCACCCACCTCAGCAACCCAAAGGGCTGGTATTACAGGTGTGAGCCGCCATTCCCGGCCAAATTTTTTCTATGATGAAAAATGTATAATGTGTTGTTGGGCTTTGAAATTTTTCTTTTTCTTTCTTTCTTTTTTTTTTTTTTGAGATGGAGTTTTGCTCTTGTCATTCATGTTAGACTGCAATGGCAGGATCTCCATTCACTGCAACCTCCGCCTCCTGGGTTCAAATGATTCTCCTTCCTCAGCCTCCCAAGTAGCTGGGTATACAGGTGAGCACCACCATGTCCAGATAATTTGTATTTCTAGTAGAGATGGGGTTTCACCATGATTGGCCAGAATGGTCTTGAACTCCTCATCTCAGGTGATCCACCCACCTTGGCCTCTCTGGGATTACAGGTGTAAGCCACAACACCCGGCCAGCTTTGATTTCATAAACTCAGTCCTTAGCTATTTTTCCAAATTATTTTATGTCCTTTTTGATTTATTTTATTTTGAGACAGGGTCTCACTCTACTACCCAGGCTGAAATGCAATGGTGTAACCAATCATGACTCACTGCAGCCTCGAACTTCCAGGTTCCAGCAATCTTCCTGCCCCAGCCAACTGAGTAGCTGGGACTACAGACGTGCACCATTATGCCTGGCTAATTTAACATTTTTTTTTTCATGGAGACAAGATTTTACTGTGTTGCCAAAGCTGCACTTGAACTCCTGAGCTCGTGTGATTCTCCCGTTTCAGCCTCCTAAAGTACTACGATTACAGGTTGAAGCCACCATCTGCTTCTGGAATTTCTTGAGAGAATTATTCTCAATAATAAACAGTACCATATCGGCATGAATCTAAAGAACATCTGTCCTCTATGGTAGAAGTTTCACTCTCCAGGATTTCAAAGGACTAGGGCAGATTCTGTAACAGTGTTATCTATGGTGGTGCATGGACTTTGAAGTCAGACAGAATTTATTCTGAATCTCAGCTCAGCCACTTAGTAGCTGTTAGTCTTTGGACAAGTTTCTTTCTGTGGAAGAGTTCTATAAACCGTGTACATTAAAAAGGGCAGAATAATAACGATTGCCAAAATGGTCGCAATTTTTCATCCTCTTATATTCCTGCCCATTGCCAGGTGCTTTTACAGTTGTTCTATTGACATCCAGTATCTGCTTTCTGAACACTAGATCTGGCAGGTCATATTTGCTCAGGGCAGTAGAAACCTGTGAACATGACAGTGGGCTAGTTTGGGGCCCAAGCTCAAATGGTCTTGAATGTTTCTGCTTTTATTTCAGAATGCTGCCATCTCCATGGGAAAAATCCATGTCGGCCAGCCGGAGAATAAGATACCATGGAATGGAGAAAAGAGTTGCCCCTATTGACAGCTCCAGAAGCAGAAGCTCACTCCCAGAAACACAGCTGCTTAGCCAACAAGCAGTTGATGACACATGTCTAAAAATGCTCAGCTGAGACTAGAGAAATGGCCCCACTGAGCCCAGCCCAAATGGCTGACCCTTTCAATTATGACTAATAAGTTTTGGATGGTTTGTTATGCTGCAATAGCTAACTAATACATGCACCCAGTGCAGATAGGATGCCAGGATTTAATGACAGACTCAGTACTACTTACCTTCTCACAGTGGACACCCTAAAGGTACTATTATTTTCCCTCTGATTTAGAGTTGGATGTCTTGTAAAGTAATATTGAGTAATGCAGAAATACATGTAGATATTGTATGCATGTGATTAGTGCTTATATTCACACAGTTCCTCACACTACAGGAGAAAATAGACAACCACAGCCTAATCATAAGGGCCAAGGCCAAAGAGCAAAATAAGCTTGCCTTTAATCTATTTTTTTCATATCTAAAAATTGGAGGTCAAGAGTGTGGACAGACCTGAAGACATAGGGTTCTCTTCTCCTGTGGCCACATCATCCTTTGTTCACTGTCTGATCTCTAGAAGGAAGGAGGGCAAGACGTGGCCAGAAGTGGTCTACCTGTGGTTATTTTATTCCTGTTGCTCTCTGCTCTTTTTTTTTTTTTTTTTT